GGCGCCGGCAGGTCCACCCCGTCCTCGGGGCTGGTGTTTCCTAGCGCGGCGGCGGCGGCTCCCGGGACCCTGCCCCTGCCCCTGGGCCGGGTAGGGTCGGGGTGCGGGGGACCCCCGAAGACCGCCCGGTGCTCGCCCGCTCCGGGTGCCTCTCCTTGCTCCCGCGCCGCCTGGTGGAGCAGCAACAGGTGAGGCCGGTGCCTTCTTGTCTCCCCGTCCAGGTGAAGACAGCGGGACTCGCAGGGACCAAGCCGCTGGCCGCGGCGCCGCAGCCAGAGGGGCAGAGCCAGGACGCGCAGCCAGCCAGGTGTGTGGCGCCCAAGGCCCTCGTTCCTTATCCCGTCACCGCCCCCGCAGGCGGCAGCGGGGCAGAAGGCCGGTAACAAGTAGTGCCGGTGCTGGTGACCCGGGGGAGGCTGACATGAGGGAGCCCGGGGCCGCAGGCCCCTCACCTGGACGTACCTGCAGTACCCACTTCTTGGGGTGACTGAGAGGACCAGGAGTGGTGACTTGGGGCCAGGGGAGACTCGGGACAGAGAGGGAAGCCCCCTCCCGGAAGCCCAGCCCTGCTCCAGGGGGTACTTCCCTGCGTGCGGGGGCTCTTGCAGGCGTGGCCGCGGGACCTTGCCTTCCCGGGCCTCCGTTTCCTTGTCTGTCCCAAGGGGCTGTGTGTGGTCCCTGCCCCCCAGGATCCCTGAGGAAGGTGCTTAGCAAGGTGCCCTCCCACGCCGGCGCCCACCGCCCGAGGACCCTTCTGTCCCCAGTCCCTGTGAACCTCAGGGCGCCAGCGCTCTCTGCGATCAGAGTCTAGTGCAGCCCCGCTAGAAACTCAAAGCCTCCTGAGTGAGCCCCAGGCTGGGGCGGCAGCTTCTCCCCTGGACCCCCACAGCGGCAAGGCTGGTGAGGACAGGGCTTTTAACATCTTAGGGCTACAACTTACACAATCCCAGAACTGGTCTGCTGACCCCACGCCCACCCCTGACGCTGGTGTAGCAAGAAGGGGAAGTCCAGGCAGTGGCCCACGCCTCCTGTCCCGGCCACTGCAGCCTACAACTGTGGAGCCATGGTCTCTCTGCTGCTTGGCCAATAGCAAGTTGACCCCTGTGGAATCTGGCCACTGCACCCCGCTGGGAGCTCCAAATCCAGGCCATCCTCACGCTGCTCCCGCATGGTGTCCCTGCTGCACCCTAACCCCCAAATCTCCCGCCTAACCCCCATAGCCAGCTGTCACACCTGAGCTCCCGGGGGTCATTCCGAGGCTCTCCTGCCGCTCCTGTAGCAGTAGCCCATCCTGCTAAGCCCTTTGCCCTGCCAGAGCCTGTGCTCGCTCTTCCTTCTCCCGGGAACCCGCTTCCTTGCAACCTCCTTGTGACTTGGCCCCTGACACTCAGGTCACTCCCGCAGAAGCCTGCCCGATCCGCCCCTGAAGGAGGGCTCTGGGGCCTGGCTCTGTTTTCTTTCATCTCAGGGCTTAGCCCTGGCTGATGTGACCTCCCTTTCATGTTTCTCCTTGCCTTGTTTATCTTCCCAGCTGAGTCAGCCCACCAAGGGCCCGACCTTTTCCTTCCTCTTCATCTTGGATTCCCCAGAACTCAGCGCCCGGCATCTAGTAATCTAGTAATCTGGTCAGATAATTTTGTGCAGTTGCAAGGAGACCAGCCCTCCGAGCTCTGCGTTTCTCCTTCCTGGTTGCTTAACAGGGCTCTTTCTCCATCCCCACACAGACCGCAGCGCTGTCATCTCTTAACAGCTGTCTGCCTTCTTTAGCGCTTCTCTGAAGCGGGACTGTGCCAGGTTTCACCACGACATCCAACTTAGCTGTAAACACTGTTGTCCCTCTTATGCATGGTCTGTTTTTTTTTTTTCATTTTTTTTGCTATCAAATAATTTCTTTGAAATGTATTTTCCAAAGAGAAGTGTTCAAGTCCAGGGAGTGCTCACTTCGGAGGCAGTTGCCACTGGTTACTAGATGTCTGTTTAAAATAATCACCTCCCATTCCGTGGGTGGTAAGTTTCCCAACAGCCCCACAAGCATTGCGTTTTAGCATTTGTATTTGTTTTGGCTAATTCAGTGGGGGAAGCAGCGAGGTTAGAATCCTGTGCTGCTTGAGGGCGGCCAGCCTGGCTGCTCTTCCTGTGTGCGCCGGTTCTGTTTCCTGGCTGGTGAAGGAAGCTAAACCCCGCGGGCTGCAGCAGCCGCTCTGTCAACCAGCAAGAAACCTGCCAGACAGTCCCGTGCGCCCTCAGCGGGGAACTGTGATGGGAAGAGAAGGTTTTTGTTTTTTTTTGAGTCTTTGTGAGTAGTTTTTCAGCATGGTAATATTTTACTTTATAAACTGTAAAAAATAACTCAAGATGTGCGAGGTAGTGTGTGGAGTCGCTCGCTGGAGCATCGGGGCAGGAAAGACGGGGACGCTTGGATGTTCGCGGCCAGCTGTTCCGGGGGCGCCGGGCACCACCCCGAGACGTGCCCGGGCCTAGAAAACAGCACAGACCACCCCTCTGGCTGCTGAACAAGCGATGTGCAGTCGGCGGCTTAAAACAACCCCAGTTTATCATCTTCCGCTTCTGTGGGGTAGAGCCTGACTCAGTCTCTGCTCCACAGGGAGTCGCTGCCTGGGCCGCGCAGCTCCTGGGGGCTGCTGGGGGATCTGCTCAGCTGCCGCCATCGCCAGCTCCTAGAGGTGCCGGCCTTGCTCGAGTTGGCCCCTTCTTGCATCCTCGAGCCCTCAGCAGAGCACCTTCTGTCTCTCTCTGCTGCCGGCTCTGCTCCTGTCCTCACATCTCCCGGGCCCCCTGCCCCTACTCATGAAGACCCTTCTGGCTGGGTGTGGTAGTACACGCCTGTAATCCCTGCTACTCAGGAGGCTGAGGCAGGAGGATTGCGAGTCTGAGGCCAGCCTGGACAGTTTGGTGAGACCCTGTCTCAAAATTTAAAAAAAAAAATGTAAAAGGGTAGGGATGTAGCTCAGCCATGCAGCACTCACTCGTCGTGCACAAGGGCCCGGGTTTGATCCCCAGCACTGTAAAAAAAGTAATCAGAAAACCTTCTCTGATGACAGCGGATCCATCCGGATAATCCCCACCCCACCATCTAAGGAGCCTTCGGGGGAAATTACTCTGCCTACCACCCCCTAAACAGAATAAGCAAGGTTCAAAACAGTGTGTGGGCTCACATTTGTTTACGAAAAAAAACACAGGAAGGGGGAGTGAAAGTGTATACGTATGTGCACAGGATACCCCAGAAGGCTACAGGGGGCACCAGCAGGAGTCGCTGCTTCTGGGAAGGGGGCTTGTGCTGTCACGGTACATCTTGTAGTAGTTAAATTTTTTACTCCATGCATGTGTCACTTACGTTAAAAATAATTTTAAAAAGTAACACATAGTCATTGTAGAAGTTCAGACTTTCCGGAAGCAAAGAGAAGGAAGGCAGTCACCCATCCCCCACGCCCAGATCACTCCCTTTTCTCCCAAGGATACCCACTGTGAAGAGCTTGGCTATCCTTACAGACTTTGCTTTTCTGATAGTATTTTCTTTTAAACATAGATGGGTCGTCCAGCACACACTGCATTGTAACAGAGTTTTTCTTTTACTTTCCTATATCTGCAGATGAAGATTGAGGGGCCGGGGATGTAGCTTAGTGCCACAGCGCCTGCCTGGCAAGTGCAAGGTCCTGAGTTCGATTCCCTGTCCCCTTGCCCCCGCAAAAAAAAGGTTGGGGAGCACTAGTGTCTCGCTGCTCAGATGTCCGTCTGCTGAGCGCAGCAGACTCCATGGATGGACGTTTAGCTGGTTTCTGCCTTTCAGAGCAGCCCCAGCTGTCATGCAGTGGCTGTCTTTCTGTCTTTTGAAATGGGAGTGAAATTCACAGAGCGTACAATGAGCCACTTAAAAGCTTGTAACCCAGTAGCAGTTAGTACCTTCCTAGTATTGTGCAGCCCTCAAGCCATCACCTTTATCTAGGTCCAGAGCGTTCTCGTTGTCCCACAAAGGAACACCACCCCCACTAAGCGGCCACCCCTCGCTCTTCTCTTCCTCCAACCCCTGGCAGCCATCTGTCCACTTTCTCTCTGTCTCCGTGGATTTGCTGTTCTGGACATCTTCTGTCGGTGTGGGTCAGAAGATGGGACGTTTGGTGAGCAGCTGCCTGTTCTTAGCGTAGTATTTTCAAGGCCCATCTGTGTTCTCAGCTGTGTCCGTGCCTTGTCCCTTCTTGTGCCTGGAGATGCCACACCCTGCTTATCCATCGCCCAGCACTGGACGTGGGGTTTGCTTCTACCTTTCGGCTGCTGTATTTCTGCTGTGCACTCTCCGTAGTAGCCAAAAAGCGGAGCCGCTATCAAGCAGGTTCATGTTAGTGCCTTTTTTTCCATCCTTTTGGGCGTATCCCCACTTCTGAGCTTTATGCTGTTTCACTTTTTTTTTTTTTTTTGAGACAGGGTCTCCCTATGTAGTTTAGGCTGGCCCTGAACTGCGTATGGCCTCCGAACTTGAGGTGACCATCCTGCCTCAGCCTCCCAAGTGCTGGGGTTACAGGTGTGCATCATGTGTCCTGGCTTTATACTTTTTCAGACACTGTTAAAACTAATTTATAACTAATCCATAAGCCAAGATTGCTGAGCACCTATTCAGAGGATCACAGCAGGAGGACAGATCTGACGAATGTTTTTTTCTGTTCCAGATCCAGAGGCAGCAGGAAAATGGCATCTGGTGATGAAAAGGTAAGTTGCTTCTGGTGTCCAGCAGCCTCAAAAGTCCTCCCAGCTTCAAGAAGGTGATTGTGGCCGGGCGTGGTGGCGCACACCTGTAATCCCAGCACTCAGGAGGCTGAGGCAGGAGGATTGTTGTGAGTTTGAGACCAGCCTGGGCTACAAAATGAGCTCAAGGCCAACCTGAACTGCATAGTGAGACCCTGTCTCAAAAAAAAAAAAAAGAAGAAAGTGATTATGTTAGATGATTCCTGTCGGACAGGGAGAAAACCCTGTCAAGGGTATTGGTGCCCTTTCCAAGGTCACAGATGTGAAAAGCTAGGGAAGCGCTTCACAAACTCTCCACGTAGCCTGGTAATCAACTCCTAGCTTTGCATCTTAATAAACACAGGCCACAAAGCCATGCCCTTCACCAATCTGAGCCTCAGTTTCCTTATGTGGAAGGTGATGCAAAGGGTATTTACCACCCCTTTCCTGAAGGACTGTGGAAAGGATGAGACAGTGGTCTCCCAGCACCAGCCAGTCTGGAACCCATGGGGGCTTTTCCTGACCACTCGCTTTTATAGCTAAAGAAACTCTGGTGCGGGGAGCTAGAGCCACTCGCTGAGGACCCCATGGCTAAAAGTGGCAGAAGCAGGATTTCCGCCCGGCCTAACTCCAAAGCAAAGCAAAGCAAAGCAAAGGTTTTGCTGCCTATATTGTGCAGCTTCTGGAGCAGGGCTGATAAGCACTGCCCTTTGGGGTGCTGGTCTCTCGGGGGGCACAGGTGGCAAGGTGGAGAGGAAGTGTTGGCTTCCCCTCTGTGTTCATGTCAAGGTTCTGCGGGCCCAGCCAGGGTGGGCCTGCGGGGCGAGGGGAGGCACCCAAGGCAGCAACAGTGTGGGTGGGGCAGAGTCCGCAGAGCTTGGATGTCCTCGCCCGGTGAGCCTGGTGCTCCATGGGGTCCAGGCATTGTTAGTAAGAGAGTTTGTTTCGAAGAAAGGCAGATAGAAATAGTACAGACAGGTCCTTGTTTTGCAGTTCCCTATTAAACCAGGCAACCACAGGGCAGATGGAAAGGCTGGCTGCTGGTTACCTGTGGACCCCAGCATACTTGCGTGGATGGAGTACTGTCACAGGACTGGGTCAGCCCCTGCAGCTGTCCTGGAAAAAAATTGACAGTTTGTATCCAGAATCCTGAAAAGGTTCACAGGGAAGCCTTGTTATCTAACAAATAAGAAAAGAAACAATTCAGGGCTGGGGATTTAGCTCAGTGGCAAAGCGCGTACCTGGCAAGCACAAGGTCGTGAGTTCTATTCCTGGTACCAGAAAAAAAAAAAAAAAAAAAGAAACAATTCATAAAAATAAAAACTATGAGGCAGGAGGATCACAAGTTCGAGCCCAGCCTGTAATTTGGCAACTTAGCCAGGCGTGGTGGCGCACACCTGTAATCCCAGCACTTGGAAGGCTGAGGCAGGAGGATCATTGTGAGTTTAAGACCAGCCTGGGCTACAAAGTGAGCTCAAGGCCAGCCTGAACTGCATGGTGAGACTGTCTAAAAAAAAAAAAAAAATTTAGCAACTTAGCAGGATCCTGTCAGAATAAATAAATAAGGGCAGAGGGTGAGGGTGCAGCGTAGTGGCAGGGTGCTTGCCTAGCGTGCGTAAGCTGAGACTCGGGGGTCAAACCCAGTACTGCAAAAAAAAAGGCCAATTTATGGCACTAGGTTTCTGAGCACATTGGATGGGAGACGCCATTTGTCGCGGATGCACTGTAATTTCACGTACTGTAAAGTACTTGGTGAGATAAAATAACACAACACCGGAACAGGCCCATTGAAGGACACACGCACCTTTCAGAGATGTGAAGGTGTGGTTTTAGAATGGGCGATAAAAGACGCCGAATGTGAGAAGCAATCAAAATGTAACAGTAAGACCATCTGGGAAAGTGTGTTGGCCACGAAGAGGGGTAAGTGTGAGGCCTGCAGCTGGGGGGGAAGCGACCGACTTGTCTGTGCTGTCTGTAACCCAGAAGATACAGCTGAGAGGCAGACAGATGCTGGAGGAGCTGGGTGTGTCGGGACCGTTAGGGATGCGCTTCCCTTCTTTTGCTCACATTTCTCACTAGTACAACAGTAAAAGAAATGGATGTGGGATGCGGGTCTGTTTCCTGGGGTACATGACAGCAGGTAAGGGGGTGCCCCAGGAGTCTGAAGGAAGCAGGCAGGGGTGCAGAGGGTTCCTCGGCCAGGCCTGTACTGGAACTCGGGAAATGCAACAGAAGCAGCACCTGGAATACACAACCTCCCAAGGACACTGTAGGGAATGGGGGCGGGGGGTGGGGGGGGTAGGAGGCTGCCTGTCACCGCACAGGTGATGGCATTGCCGGGGGCCTGGGAAGACGGGTGGCACCTGGCCTCTTCCTGGTCAGAGAACATGTTCTTTTGACCCTTGTCAAGTTCATTGTGCTTTCAAAAGCTTGTTCGCAGCCGGGCGTGGTGGCGCTCGCCTGTAATCCCAGCACTTGGGAGGCTGAGGCAGGAGGATTGTTGCGAGTTCGAGACAAGCCTGGGCTACAAAGTGAGCTCAAGGCCAGCCTGAACTGCATAGTGAGACCCTGTCTCAAAAAGACAAAAAAAAAAAAAAAAAAACTTGTTTGCTTTAGAGCACTCCTACTTTTTGAGACAGAAGAGCTGTGTGGTAGGACACACTGATAAAGGGGTCAGAGGATTCGCGGTAGCCAGTTCCCCGGAGAGGGCCTCAGCCCACTGTTGACACCTGCCCTCGCCCAAGTCCAGCTCCAAGCCTCAGTCTCCCTTCTCTGTACAACAGAACACCAGCACCAGGCACAGAGCAGTGCGGATTAAAGGAGACTCTACCCTCCAAGGCCTTGGCAGGGTGCTTGGCGACAGCCACCCCCGCAGCCATAGAGGAGGCACAAGTCTGGTGCATAGAAGTAGCTGGAGAAAGACACAGAGTTGCCTGTGGTACGGGGCCGTGCTCTCGCTCTCGAGAGAAGCTGGCTTTGTGGCCCATCAGGTGAGCTTATTCCTAGCGGCATGTGCCAGCCTGCAGCCGGGTGTGCTTAGTTGTCTGTAGCCCTTTGGCACCTTTTGCCTGGCGGTTCCTACGTAGCACGCTGCCATCAGCACATCACGGCCAGCTAGATCAGGATCTCCAAGTCCAGGAGCGGTTCAAGACCCTCCAGGGGGCCAGGATATAGCTCCTCCTGGAGCTATATAGCACATATATGTATAGTATGTATAGCACAGCACCTCCCTGGCAAGCACAAGGTCCTGAGTTTGATTCCCGGTACCAAAAACAAACAAAAAAACCCCTCCAGGCGATTCCATTGTGCGGCTGGAGCCTGAGAGCTACCATGAAGCCAGAACAGCGCAGGACTAGGTGTATTCACAGGGGGTCCGGGAGGAAGGGGGAAGCCAGGCTGGAGTTTCTCTTGGGCTGTGTGACCTGGGCTTCGCCACTTGGCCTTTCTGTTCCCGGTTACTTCACGGGCGCATGGAGATGGTTCGGCCCCCACTGCATGGGGTGGTTGCACTGTATCACGGGCTCTGCCCAGAGCTGCTATAACTGCAGGTGCACACTTTCCACCCTGCAAACATGGCTTCACGCTCACGCTGCCAGGTTGGCAGCTGCCCTTCGGAGGAGGAGGGAAAGGAGGTTGAGGAGCACAGCTCTGGGGGCACTGGGCCACCAGGTAGGCTTCTCGGCCCATGCGCAGCACCCCTCCTGCCGGAGCCAGTCAGCCGGCTCTGGGTTTGTTTTCATGAACCTCAAACTTCCTCCCCACCCTAGAGAAGGAACAATTTCTACGCTTATTTAAAGACTTCCCTGATCTTAAAAATAGGCATTCCTCAGAACACAGCCCTGTGGGGGAAGGGAGGCCCGGGCAGGTGGCCCCTGAGTCCCTAAGAGCAGAGCAGAGCTCCGCCGAGGGGCTCGTTCTGTCCCCTAGTGTGCACTGTGGGAGCCGGTGGTCTGCTAGGCACAGGGGTCACGGCGTGAGCGGGACCTGCCCAGCCTGCGCTCCAGGGGGCTCAGGGGTGACACAACTCCCCAGGACTGTAGGGGTGGTGAGCGAGTAGTGGGGAGGCCTGGCCAGCCCGCCTGAGCTGGGATGCTTGAGAGGGGCCAGAAGGAAGGAGGAAGGAAGGAAGGAAGGAAGGAAGGAAGGAAGGAAGGAAGGAAGGAAGGAAGGGAGGGGAAGTGAAGTGAAGGAAGGAAAGAGAAGATAGATGGCAGGGGCATCATGGAGAACCTGCATGTGCAAAGGCCCTGTGGCTGGAGGAGCCTGGCTACCGTGAAGCCTGAATGGCTGGAGACAGCATGGCCAGAGTAGGGAGAGGTAGGAGATGAGGCCAGATCAGCAGAGCCCCAGCGTGCAGAACAGAGGCAGCCTCCGGAAGGTGTCTGGTTCTTCATTTTTTAAGAACAACGGGAATCCAAGGAAGAGTTTTAAAAACAGGAATATGTCGAGGTCCCCAAACCCAGGTTTAGGGCTTCAGCAGGAAGCTCCCGGGGCCCCCACATATATGTGTACTCATGGCAGGGTGAGGATTATTGCAGCTGAAGGATACAGATAAAATTTAGTGAAAGAGAAGAGACATATGGGATGAGGCCATAGGAAGCAGGGAGCAAGCTTCCAGAGCTCTCCAGGGTCTGCTTGGTCCCTCCTGCAGCGAGCAGTGATGTGTGAAGTGTTGGTGACAGGGAGGCCCCCAGGGGGCTCATCACCCACAGGTTCTATTGGGGGCTGTCACGTACGCTGGCTGTCCAAAGGAGGCAGGAGTCCGGCACGAACAACGCTGTTTATACCGACGGTCTGGGTGGGGAAGTGTCCTTACCAGGGACAGCTGTCTATGCCGGTGCCTACAGGTCCCCGGGCTCCTGCATGGCCGCGCAGGGCTCTGCAGCGTGACCCTGCATGGTGTGTTGGGTGACAGGCTTTGAGCTTGTTTCTGACTTGGGGCTAGTATAGCAAGATCCAGCAAGTAGAAGCACACATGTGTGTGA